TTGATTCAAGTATAACGGATACCTGTAGGACTTAGAGAAAATCCTAAGGTCAGAAACTCCAACGTGTAGAATCAGCTACCGCAGCCTTTCAACTTAGACGTTAAGATAAATGAAAACGAACCCGGTGATAACGTGGAAAAATTTTGAAAGATGACTGATTTGACAGTGAAATTGAACTTGAACAGGTTGATAGATTATTATCTATAAAATTTTCTTGCTTAATGAGGAACCAACTTTATTGCATTAAATAGTTGGATTATACAAGACGTGCGTTAAAAGATACAAATAATGAAATACGCCATATACGTAATATAACAACTAATAAAATGATAAAAATACTAGATCAAGATCATACCAAAAAACCTGATTATCAAGAAGAGGTTAACTCTAGTAAAGAAGAATTAGCTAATGGTATATTGACAAATAAATGGATTACGTCACAGTTCCTGTTAAGACTGATACATATTTTCAATTTAACTCAGATTCAGGGAATGTTTTGAGAGAAGCATCAGAATCAATGGTTGGAAAGATAGAAAGAATTCTATTGACGGTGAACAACATCGACCTGGAGGAAATTTTCATAGATTAACATGATTAATATGAAGACATCTTTGAGTGAGTAAAATCAGTTCTCATAGTTAATATAGACTCGAAATAATAATTTTACTCATTTTTTTAGTCTATATCATAGCGATATCATGGATATGTGACTGACTTCACATTTCATAAATGAAATTTCTGAAGAATCTTAGAGCGAATTTGTGTTAAATACATATTCTGAACATAATCTACCAAGAACTAGGAAAGTTTCATATAAGAATTCTTCAAGGTATGTCATAAACATGGAAAAAGTAAAATGTTTTTAGTTTAATTATCTTTGTTACTTATTTTGTTCAATGATGATAAGCCAAAGAAGAATGGATAAGCAATTAGCATGAACTCTATAGCCAAAAATCAACAAAATTCACAAAGACTTGGCAGATGCAATCTACCATATTCTTGCACTATAGTATATTTTTCTTTACTTTATCATCCTTTTATTATTGTATGTGAAATATTATAATCATTATTTGAGTTCTTTTTAATATCAAAGCCTCTGAAGCGTCTTGCAATATATTAAAGTCAGGAGATTTGCGAGAAAATCAATATAATGCTCAATTTGTTAGTCCTATATTAAAGAATACACTAAAGGTCATATGTAACATTGATTGGAGAATGTAAGTTTTGTTTTCACTTTTAGGAGTATTTACTCGCATTTATTAAGTTCGTGAAATTACACTGTTATAGTCTCAAAGTGCCAGTAGAAAGTAGCAAAGATCGTTGTAATGCAAATCTCAATCCAATCATTGATAAAGTTTTAGAGGCGAAGTATGCAGATGAGCTTGCTCGTCTTTAGCTAAGTCATGAAGAAATATTTCTTTACGAACAAATGGGACTCCAAACTTCGCTGATATGACACAACTTTACATTCATGATTATAAGCTGATTAAAACAATGAGAGATATTCTTAATTAAAAAATAATAATTCATCTTAAAGACGAAGTATATGATCACAAAAACTTTGCAAGTTTCAGTGCTTTCAGATATCACACAGAAGTATTTTTATTTTAGCTAACAATACATCAGAAATCATACTGTCTTCGCAAATACGGAACTTTTAAGATCCCTACAGTCTTGCAAGATTTTCCTGTTCTTTCCAAATCAATTATAATATGTCTTAAGTTCTTTGTAAGTATAGCAATGTTTTATTCACTTATTCACCACCCTTCACTAATGCTGGTTCATAATTAGTCCTTTATGAGAGAAAATACTGAAGTGAAAAGATCATATGTTGAACAAAAGCAAAAGTTACTAACCAAACGAAGGGTACATATAATAAAGCAGAATCAATTAATACCAGATCAACCCAAAAAGCAGAAGAAGTCAAAATGAATACATTTACTCGAATTAGGTAGAAAAAATGCTATATAATGATTTTAACACCCATCTTGTAAGTAATCTTTTAATATATAGTTTTATCTTAATCTTGAAAAAAATGTAAAATGTATATAATATTAATAAAGTAAATCTATCCACACCTGGTTGAAAAGTGTATAATAATTTTTCTTGATTGGTGTTTTGAAACAGAATGTACACATGATTTTTTTATATACCCATATATGGAATATAATATAACATAAGTATAAATGTGATAAGGCAGAAATGAACCCTATTTATCTAATTTTAAGGGCGTATTTCAACCTAATCTAATTGCAAGAAGATCGTCAGTTGCCTTAGTAAAATCAAAGACCATAAAATTCCAATCTCGCAAATGTTTGTCAATAATTTTAAATGCTTTTTTAGATCATCCGTATATTATTACACAATTCTATGGATATCATCTTGGCTTTCTGAGCCTCAAAATAAAGCTAAATAGGTAATATTCTTACGAATAATTTTAGGAGTTTGTGTATATTTCTGGCTCACATATATACTTGATACACCTTGATGTCGGCCATTGATAAAATATGGAACAATCCAATTCTGAATTTTTTTTGATTCAGCGTAAAGATCCTCAAAGACTACAACAGTATTTCTATCTGGTGAAAGCTTAGTTATATTTGGAATCTCATCTGCTTTTAACACACAAAATGTTACATTCTCTCAATATGCTTTTGAACCCTTTGCAAAATTTCATAGCAGTTTTTTACTAATATCCATTTGGGTTCATGGATATGCTTTTCGATTAAGACTAAATCATCATTTTTAACATACCGCTCCTCTTTCTTTTCTTTAAACAAATGTTGAATTTTATTTTCAAGAAAAAGATTAAGAATCATATTAGTTTTTTCATTATCTGATTCACCGTAAATTAATAAATGAAAAGGAAATGCAAGACTGGTTGGATGATTCATACTCTTTGAATTTTTGATTTTGTTAAGATGATATATATAATACTCTATTTTTCTCATTCTGATTAGGCTTTACTATATTGAAAATTAAGGATTTAATGAAACATATATTTAAAGTTTTGTATTTATTCTACTGTATAAGACCCAATTTTCGAAGATACTTTGGGATAACTATATGCGGATCTTTGTAATACTAGACATATTTTAGGTCAACATAATTTTCTTTGCATAATTCTTTCTTGAGTTGATCCTGCTCTTGCTGTTTGATGAAATTATTCAGAACTCCTCTATGAAAAAATTCTATATATTTATCATGCTGTTCTCCTTATACTTCGATAGTGATAATAAGAAATATCAAGTTGTAGCCTTATCGAATGCTTTAGTATTTTTAAGAAACTAGGTTTACGATTTTCTGATGAAGGGCCCAAATATTTTGTTAAGATTTGATGACATAGATTTTCATGTTTATACTTACTATAATATGGATATCACAAGCATTTATTCACAATATTATCAATTTTTGCATACCATTTATGTTGATTTTTACAAATTCATAATAAAGGAGATTTATTATTTTTGTATTCTGTTGAAAGACACTTATCACTCTGAGTGAGAGCAATTTGTTTAGCATCATCAAGAGTATGTTTGGTCATACCTGCACAGTATGAACACCATGTATCAGAATGTTTTATACTACTAAGTAAGGACCACTATTGATAATTATATTGACAAGTTCATAAAAGTAGTATGCTTATGTTCTAAAAGGCATTGGCCCTGTCTTGATAATGCAATTTGATTAGCAATTTCAATATTAAGTTTTGCAGTACCAGCACAGTATCAACACTAGCTACCTTTCAGAATAGTTAATAGAGAAGCTTCCCATATATGAAAATTCTAGCAACGTCATAAAAGCTTTGTGTATGCATCATGATACTGATCTGAAAGGCATTCTCCATTATTTTTTTGTGCTAGAATTTTCATATCAAATATAGTCTGATTTTACCTACTACAGATAAGATACCACTGATTGTAAGTTTGCAGTCCATATATACTCCTTAACACACTTCCATTATAAAAAATTTTATTATCTAAATACTCTGAAGAAAGACATTTTATTTCTAATACGAGCTAATGCTTTTACAACTTAAATATTATTATAATTGCATCTGCAATACCAATATCCAGAATCTTTAACTTGAAAAAGAGGCAAATACCATTGATATTGATTTTTACATGTTTATAGCAAAGGAGTATGATTATTAATATAATTTTCTAAAGACATTTTCCACCTTAATTTAAAGTTAACTCTTTAGCAACTGAAATGTTTAATCAAGTATCTTTGCAAACTGGGCACCAAGTTTTATTATTTTTTATACTATTAAGATTAGTGATCCAAATATGCTTTTTTTTGCAAATCCAATCCATTAGAATTGTGTAATTAACATATTCTTTGGAAAGACAATTCTCTCTCTATTTCTTTGCAATATGCTTTATAATTTCTAAAGATAATTTGACAGGCATATTTATTTTTTACATGATTCTATTTTAATATCAATTAATATAAAAGTCATTAAGATACATATATTTCAGCTCCTTAAGATTGTGGTCAATTAATAGCAAATTATCATTCTTGATATAACACGTCTCTCCTTTCTTCCTATTAAATATTTAATAAAGCTTATTTTCAAGCATAAGATTGAGAATCTTATTAGTCTTTCCTAAATTAGTATAATCACAGATTAGTAAAATGAAAGGCCACTGGAAAACACTTGAATATTCATTATATTTTTTGGCATCTTTAATCTCATTAATATAGTATACAAGCCTATTAACTGATTCGAGTTTTTTTATTTCATGGTAAGCTAACTATTAATAATGATATACTAAAAATATCAGACTAATTTATCAGTCCTCC